CTCTCTCCCTCCCTCTCGCCCCCCCTCTCTTTTTCTCTCTCTCTTCCCCCTCCCCCCTCGACAGTTGCCTCAGAATTAAGCTCTCCGTCTGGGTGCGCCCCACTGTGATGATTATGTATAAACCCTCTGACACTGTAATCCCTCAATTAAATGTTTCTTCCATAAATGGCCTTAGTCATGGTATTTTGTTGTGGCAAGAGAACAGTAACTAAGATAGATCCTTTGCAAGAACATAGGATGACTCCATGTTCCCACCACTGAGCTCAAGTGTAAAACTCTTCTCGGGAAAGCTCCTGGCTTTAGTAGAGTGCAGCCCAGGTCTGCTTCTGCCCTTGGGCTATCCAGTCACTGTTACACAGCTGGTTCACTGAAGGAAGGAAACTTATCTGAGTGGGCGGGTTCGTAGCATCTCGGAGGTTGTGAATTCAGGAGGAATAGCTTTCTCTGGAGACAATTTTCAATGAAACGGCTTCCTTTTATTGGGGATAACAAGGACTATATAAACCTTGGGGAATGGGTAGGGGCTTTAGGGGTGACTGTCCATTATTGGTTGGTGCCAAGTGCTGGTAATGCTTAATTTGCATGAAAAGAAATTCCAGGTACTTTGGTGGCACATCTTTATAGGAAAAGAGGAAGTTTAACTTGTAATTTGGCCACCAGGCTACTTGAATAGCTCAGGGGTGGTGGAGGTGAGAGTTGTAAGGCTTAGGTGCACTGGGACATGCAGACCCAGAGCAAGGAAGAAGTAGTTATATTCATGCTAGCCATTGGATGAGATTAGTGGTGGTGGGGGAGGGGGGTTGGACATGTCTCAACCTCACTCTTGCTCTGGACTATCTATGCTAGTAGCATGGCTTTCTTAGTCCCATGGTGTGGGGAGCCTAAAACAGGTGAAGATTCACATGGTTATAGTCTGTAGCCTCCTGCCAGCTACACTGGACTTTCTCCAGCTCATCTCTAACTCCAGCTGAGCTCTGCTGGGGTTCCAGTGACACTGTGAGAGTGGCTCAGGTTAGTCTTATGCCTCGGCTCTCTAATGAGTTTGGTTTTTAAATAACAATAACAACAACAACAAAACTATCACCACTCTGATGTAACAACTGGAGCAGCTGTGAGTGACAAAGTAGACTTCAAATAAAAGTCTATTATGCTGAAGTATTTGACTTTTAAAGAAAGCATACTATCCCTAAGCAATGTACTAACTCAGAGAGCTTCAAAATATATGAAGAAAAACATCAAAACAACTTGCACATGTAGAATCTATTGTTGTGGCTGTTCACACACCTCCCTCTGTAATTCCCAGGGAGACTTCAGCGATATCTGTGTATTAGCCACCTTCCCCAACCAATACTTACTGAATGCCCTACCCAGACCAATACACTACATTTAGTCCAGTTGAGTAAAATATACTCATGAAGATACTGCTTACCATAGAAGAAGAACCCGATGAAGTATAAACCAATAGAAATAAATGAAATGTATACTTGGATCCTGAAACTAAAAATCAATAACAGATACTTATGCAATTCCCTATGCTTTACTCAAGTAGTAATAAAGGGTCATTAAGGATGAAAATGCTGTCTAATCAAAATATTGGAATCATTGGCTTGGTGGAGATCTGGCATTCTTATTAGGCTAGGTCAATTACCTGGCCAAGGGAACTATCCCAAGGAAGGATGGCTCACCTTAAGCCATGTGCTTCAGACACAGCAGAATAATTATTTCTTGAACGTGATACTATACTTCTCTGCCCAGAGGACAGCTCACCAGGCCTCAGTAGTACAAGTGCACACCTGCCTGCTCTTCTAAATTATTCAGAAAAGTATAGCTTCTCTATTTTTGCTTGCTGTGCTGACCCTGACTTTCCTAACACTCCAGGCTTTTATGACGTTTTGACTCATTTGTTCTCTAAAGCACCCTTCTTTGTCATGTTCCTGCTTATTTGTCATGTTTGACCTCCAGGTTTGCCATTCCCCACTGTGCTCCTCCATCCTTCTCCTGTAAACACCTGCTCAGATTTATAGATTATCTGCCTTGAGTGGTTTCTTAACTCTAATAAAATTAGACTCAATCCATTCTTAATTTTTTTTATTATTGACACTAAGAACCCCAAGAGGTAACCCCAATTTTCCTTGCATCATATGGTGACTATGAAGAGACCCCCCCCTAAGAGTCCAGAAACAGCATTTAGAAAATAAACATATTTCCCTATGCCCTGGAGTACTTTTCAACTATAAAAAGGAATGAATTGCTTATATTGCTACAATATGGATGAAACTTTAAAACGTTTCCTTAAGTGAAAGAAACTAGACCCAAAACACTACATATTGCAATGTTATGAAATGTGTAGAATAGGCAAGTTTATAGGAGCAGCAACTTCACTTGCAGTTTCCACAGTAAGAATTAGATTGAAGTCCGACAGTCAATAGCCACATTTTTTCCTTCTTTCCTCTTTTTTAATTTTCTTGAGATAGAATATCTCTATGCCACCTGTTATGAAATATAATATGGTGGGGTACCTGGCAGGCCCCTGCCAAGGTGTTCCCCTGAGAAATCATGCCACATCACTCTATAGACTTGGCATAAATAAGGCTTATTTGGATGAAGGGAGCAGAGTGATGGTCTGGAGAAGGGTTCGAGATAGATGGAAGCAGAGCCATGAGGACAGACAAGGGGGAGGGAGGGAGGGAGAGAGAGAGAGAGAGAGAGAGAGAGAGAGAGAGAGAGAGAGAGAGAGAGAGAACTGGGGTAGCAAGCAGTCCTTTTATCCCATCCATCCCTGGCAGTGGCAGGTAATGACAGCAGGTAATGACCAAAGACATTGCTAGGTCTCTGGGAGGAGCCTAGTGCAATCTCCTCTAACACAGCCCACACTGGCCTTAGAAATGGACTTAGAAGTGCCTAACTATAGAGACTGTAAACTGGAGAGTAGAGAAGATCTACACAGACACCAGGAGCATCTCGTGAGGGATGCCCTGTGCTGTGGCAAAACTGGCAGCAACTATCAGAAACATTGCAGCATTCGTTCAGATCTTTATAAGAGCCAGTTCTCTTAAACAAACTTTTATTTACAACAGTCTGCTTCAGATCAGTAAGACATACTTAAAATCTAGGAGTCTGTCTATTCCTCTTTGCTTTTTAGAATGCCCCAGATTTTAAAAGACCACTGGAAGTGGTTTTATTGAATTGCTTGAGATATGATCTCTATGTGGCCTGAGTTGGCCTCAACTTAAGATCTCCCTCTTGGGTCCCAGGCGTCATCACCATGCTTAGCTTCAATTGGACTTTAGTTAACACTGAGATTAGAGATATTCAACCACAGAGACATCAAACTAATATAATCAGGACATGGCAAAACTAGTGCTTTCACCTTGTTGAATCATCCAAGAAACTGATAAAGCCAAATTTCCCCAAACCTCGTAAGTGTACCTCATATCTGAAGAAAAGAGTGCGCCCAAATCACTACTCTGGACAGGGCTTTCATTCAAGATGTTAAAAGAGTGAGACTCTCACAACCCCCTTTTCTCAACTTTGATTAAAACACACATTGATAGAAGTTTGCTTATAAATACCCCTATTGGGGGGAGGGGGTGATGGAGGTGGATGTTCGAGTGTCTCCGCCAGTCAAAGATAGTTGGTATATCTAGGCTGGGTATTGGGTTACACTTCTGATTGTATGGGCATCTTGTTATTGAGCATTCCCAAACTTATAAAGCCTTTGATTAACATTTTAAAAAATTAAAATTAAAATTAGAAAAAAGAAAAAATAAATACCCCTATGAATTTTCTTAGTGATTTCACTCATTCATTTATTCATTCATATTTTTCTGATACTCTTCTGAGCATCAGATAGTGTTGTAACTCCCAGGATAGAATCAGGACCAAGACAGCACAAACCTTTGACCCCTACATTATAGAGCAAAGACTTATCACTTATTCATTTTCAAAACACACCCTGTGCATATGACTTAGATGTCATGAAGAGAGACTTGGAGGAGACTTTAAGGGGAGGTTCTTAGATATGAGCTCAAAGGAGACCATTTTGCTGAAATGATATTTGAAAGAAGATGGAGACAGGATGGCGGTTCTCGAGAGGATCAGTCATGTTGATGGTAGCCATTCTGACAAACATTTATGGGTGTGTACCAGGCTCTCTTTGAGGGTTCAAATTATGTTCCTTTAATGAAGAATGGTATTGAACACTGTTCATTTTCTCATTTAACCACCTCTGATCTCTTATTGAGTTGTCCATCTCTTTATTCTGAGTTTTGTATCCTTTAAACATTCTGCAAAGAGGACCTTCTTTCCTCAGGTTGTATTTTGCCAAAGGTATTATGTCAGCAACTTTTTAGTTTCTAAATAGTCTGTTTAGAAGATGTAAGCATTAATTTGGGAAACTCAAATTTATTATTCTTTTTCTTTTACAGCCAGTGTACTTTGTGTTCTAATGGATCTTTGCCCAGGTAAAGGGATTTGTTTTCCTTGTGATGTATTCCAGAACACTAGAGTTTTGTTTTTAACCATGATGCCTAGGAAATCCTAGCACTTAACACTGTGGCTCATTTTAAGATGATTTTCTAAATGATATGAAAAAAGGATTGAGATTCGTGTTTAACTATGTGATTGCTTAATGTCCCAGCTTCATTTATTAAAAAGACTCTGCTTTCCCCATTAAAGCGACTTCAAACTCTAATCAATTGATGGTATTTATACACTTCTGTGTTTAGTGGTTCATTGATCTACTTGCTGGTCCTACACCAGAACTGCATTCTACTGACTACTCATGCACTAAAATATCTATTGAAATCACATAGCAGCAGAAGCCCTCTCCTAGCCCTCACCACACAATCCTTGCTCCCTTACCTAGACCTTAGGTATGTGTGCAGTACACAGCTCAGAACAGTTTAGGAAACATTACCAAGCAATTTGAGTGGGTTTTATTTGAATTGCATTGAAATACAACCAGAAGTCACTTGTGTTTTAAACTGTTAAAGTATCTCATTCAGACTTCTCCAACTATTTAATCAGTTCTTTCATGTCTCTCAGGAACTGTTGGAGTGCTGAGTATAATTGTTTTGTATAGATTTTAATAAATGTATAATTTTCTAATATTTCTTGTCACTTGGTAGTATTCTTAAGGAAATTTTAACATAATTTAAAGTGTCTTTAGTCATATCTGCTTTTTATTATTGATATGTTTATTCATTATTTGAGAATTTTATACAGTGTATTTTGAACATATTCACTCTCTAAGTAATAGTACTTGGAACAGCATCCCTAACTTCTCCCAGATCTACTCTTAGCTTCTTACCCACTCAACTTCTCTAAATCTCTGTCTCTATCTGTGTCTCTCCCTCTTTCCTTTCCTCCCAATTTAATAGACTATCAGCTTCAACTTGTGGATCCATCCACTGTTCTATATTGAGTTTTCTTTATTTTTTCAGTTTCTGTTATTATTATGTTTTTGAGACACAGTCTAACTTTGTAGTCCAGGCTTAAGTGGAACTCCTTATGTAGCTCAAGCAGACCCTTTAACTGCTTCTCACCAGGATTATGACTTTTTCATTATGTTCAGATAAAATATTTTCTAGTTCTATTTTGCTTCCTTGTTTACTAAAAGTAAGTAATTTAGACTTTAATTACTCAAGTATAGATATCTCTTTCCTACTAATTTCTAATTTAACCTCATTGTGAAAATGTAGGTGTGCATAGCTTTAAGGCTTTTCAATGTAGTTTACTCCCCCAGCAATGGACAAGTTTCCTTCTCCACAGTCTCACTGCTAGATAAGGTTGTTGAACATATTTTTAAAAAATGTTTCTAGGCATTCATGTTACTTCTTTTGAGAACTCTCTGTCCATTTCATTAACCCATTTATTGACTGACAGCTTTGTGGTTTTCTTGCTTAATTAAATGGCAACTCTCAGTTGTAGACTTTTTTAGTTGAGCATCTCATCAGACCATGAGATTAATGAAGTAAATAAAAACTTCAAATAAAATAGTAATAACATGACAAACTTTGAGCCAGCGAGCAAGGGTCTTTGGTCTCAGAATGGTCAGAAATTATCATGGCACCTTACATTATGAGAAGCTAATGTCCTAAAGAGCTTAAAATACCTTTCTCTAAAGTCAGTCTGCCTCTCTACCGAGTGCCTGAATCTCACAAAACTGACTCCAGTTCCACAATAGACTGATGAAGTTTTTGCCTGGGACTTGGAGAGGGCTTATCTGCAAGCCCATTAGCTGTAATATGTGCTGTCCCTGCCAAGTGATGGTGCAATTTACCCTCAAGACTGTGGATCTGATGGATGTCACATTTCTGGAGAAAGAAACACAAATCTGTTTCCTACTTAAAATATGGGATTTTTTTTTGTAATGACAAATAAAATATTTAGTCTTTATCTGTATGGAAAAACAGCCATTTCTAATTGGAAAAGAGCTAGTGATTTAGTTAATTTAAAATGACTTAAACATATCTAGACGGTTTCTTTAAAGAGGCACATTTGCTTACTGTCACAGACTCCTGTTCTGAAAACATCAATATTTCATTTACTAGAATCATTAAAACCAGTGTACTGATCACATCTCTGAGGCAGTTAGCCATAGAGATAAGCATCTAGAACTTCCCTGAATAGCCACTACCCGCCATACTTGCCCCGGAAATGGAGCATAGTATATTATTTCTCGAATCAAATATATTTTTGTCAGGAATCATCTTTGGAGGAAAGAGAAGATTCTAAACACAGTAGGACTGATGTTTATTGGTTGAAAGCTGAACATGATCTTCCCCACTTTAGCATGTGTTAAGAGGTATGACTGTGTTTGTCACATGTTTTTCAAGCATCATCTAGTAAAACAAAGATAATCATAATTAAGGTAATATAATCATCACCATCATCACCACCATCATCTTCCTTTTCTACTTCCTCTTCTTTCTCCTCCTCCTCTCCCTCCCCCCTTCCCCTTCTCCTCCCCCTCATCCTCCTCCTTTTCCCAAGCAATACTAAAACATGGGTCTGAAAGTCCTGATTTTGAAATACAAAGAAGTGTAGAGATGGTAAAGAATTTGGCACAGTCAGAAATCAGCTAAACTATCATGCCCTCGGGCCTCAGCCAAATTCTAGAGTTCTGACCTCTCTGCAGCTTTGTTTCTTCTGTCATCTTATGTCTATGTGTTCTTTGTGTCATTTCTTCTTCACGTTCCTTCTACATGAGCGTATACCTTGCCACTTGGATTTGAACAGATGATTCCATGGTTTTTATCTCATGTCCTGCACTCTGTTGCTATCTGGAATGTTTGACCCATTTCCTGATATCCTGTTTATATCCCATTTGTGCCAGGGCAATAAGTCTACATATCTAGTCTCCCCCTATTGGTTCCTTATGATTAGGGGACACACAGCACACAGTCACTGTACACGAAACCATTTTTCATAATAGATAAATAACAGACCTTTTTTTTTTTTGGTTTTGGTTTTTTGAGACAGGGTTTCTCTGTGTAGTGCTGGCTGTCCTGGAACTCACTCTGTAGACCAGGCTGGCCTCGAACTCAGAAATCAGCCTGCCTCTCTGCCTCCCAAGTGCTGGGATTAAAGGCATGCGCCACCACCGCCCAGTCAGACTCTTTTTTAAATTTGTTATTTTATTTATTTATTTACTTATTTACTTATTTATTTATTTATTTATTTATTTATGGGTTTTACACATGTGCCAAGCATGTTTAGGCAATTCAGAGGAAAACTTTTGGGAGACATCACTCTCCTCCCAATAGCAAAATTACAATTATAAAGTAGTAATGAAAATAATTTTATGGTTTGGAGTTATCACAATATGAGGAACTGTATTAATGGGTCTCAGCACTAGAAAGGTTGAGAACCACTGTCCTAAAAGATGTAAGTACAGTGAGGGAAAGTTTAGTCATTTGAACAATCTTGAATATTTCTGGCTTTATTTCATCAGTAGTCTATATCTAATGGTTAATGGACCCTCAGGAAGAGTTGCTGAAATTAGTCAAGCATACATGTCAAATTATACAAAATTTATTCCCATAAATTTCTAAATGTTTTAGGAAAATAAGCAGTGCTGGCATGTGTGAGCATCTGTCACCTCCTGCTGCCCTTCCTGAAGCAGGCAGTGCCTCTGCAGTCTTTAGAAACTTGCCTGCCCTAATTAGCTTATGGCATGCACTTATATATTCTTATTTTTCCCTAACTATACCAGTAAACCAAGATAGTTGGGTTTTTTTAATCAGCTAAAGATTTCATTTTTAAGTAAGATTTTCATTTTTAAAATAAAAGATTCTTTTATTTAGACAAGGGATAGAATGCAATATTATATACAGTAGGCAAGTACTTTGCTCCTGAGCTAAGCCCCTAGCTCCTGGTTTTGTGAAACAGGGTCTCATTATGTAGCAAAGGCTGGCCTCAAACTCAAGATCTTTGTGCCTCAACCTCCCAAGAGGTAAAGAGATTACAAGTGTATCACAAATCCTGAATTAAAATGCTCTCTAAAATGACAGTCTGAGGGACTGATGAGATGAATTAGAGGTTAATGGCACAGACTACACTTACAGAGAACTGGAGTTTCAACCCACCACGTTCAGTAGCTCAGAATGGCATGTAACCACAGATCCAGGGGAACCTGATATCATCTTCTGGCCTCTACAGGCACCTGCATGCACTTTGGTGGTGGTGGTAGGGGGTAGGACATGTACACACATGCAAATATAAAGATACACACATAATTAAGGTTTCTTTTTTATTATTTAAATGCAAATGTGTTTCTGAGACACTCAAGTCAAGATTAGAGCAGAGTCTTAGACAGTCTTATCATAGCTTTTGCAACCCTACACATTCAAAAAAAAGGTTATGAAAGAAAAACAGTCTGAAGGTGTTTTAATGAATAATCAATTATTATACTGACAATCTCTTAGCTATCCAAATTCAATGAATATCTAAAATTTTGAATAGGAGTTTTGAATAGTCTCAATAAATTGAGACTTAAATGATCCTCATTTTGATCCAAATTATTTTGTTTTTATTTATGAGGATTTCCTCTATGTTTAGCTGATTTAAATGGAAGGATTTGTAGTGACAAAGAATAATCTGTTAACTCATTTTTCCATTCAAATGAAAATAAAGTCATTTTTCAAAATGTAAATATTAGCTTAGCAGAATTAAGACTTGTTAGTCCTTCATGCTTGAAGACCGTCAGTGTTCGCAAAAAAAGAATGCTGAATTGTGGTGAGCACTGACAGTGATCTACAAATTTCTCTGGCAAAGGTAATTGTAACCTATAAATGAGAAAAAATAATGCAATTTTGAGAGCATTCTGGAAGAACAGCTCTAGTCACAAAGAACAGGTCATACAGGTTTATAGAAAACTTGTCAACCAGGGAAAGGAGTCTTCCATATCTGATATCAACCACAAGGATAGCAGGCTGGTGAGCATCATCGTGGATATGACTAAGGAGACATGGGTGTGCTGTCACCATACTGGAACTTATATAGATAGTCTCATTCTTAGTCCAGAGTTTTGCTTCACCTTTTCAGTCTGGCAGATATTCCCTGTATTAGTTTGTTGTTGTTGTTGTTGTTGTTGTTGTTGCTATGATGGAATACTATGGCAAAAAGCAATTTAGAGGAGAAGGTACATTTTGTCTTGAAGTTACAGAGGTGTACAATTCATTATGGCAGAGAAGACATAACAACAGGCAGGGAAAACATAACAACAGGACAGGAAGCTGTCTGTTCATATTTTTATCCCCACACAGGAAGCAGAGAGAGATAGAGAATAGAATTGAGCCAAGGTTAGAAGCTGTCAAAGCTGCCTTCAGTGATATAATTCCTTCGGCAAAGTTCCACTTCCTAAAGGTTCCATAAATTCTCTAAGTAGCACCACCAACTGGTGACTAAGTTCAAATACATGAGCCTAATGGGGAATGTTTCTCATACACTTCACCAAATCCTCACTCTTCAAAGCAAGGCACTGTCTGTCACTTCTCACTTAGCCCAGCACTTCACAATTGAGAGCTCTGGGTTACAGAAGAGTAATTCTGGGCTATTGACCACAGTAAGGGTCTCTATAGTTCACAAATGTGGGATGATAGTAAGAGCCCTAGGCCCAACACCACAGAAGCCATCAGATAAAAAGAGCAACATTCACAAAGGCAGAAATCCCAGTAACATGAGGGTTTTCATGGAGGTGCATAGTTTTCCTTCTCTCTTCTTTGACTATTTCTTTTTCTTTTTGCTTTGTAGATATATAAGGCTGCCTACAACATGTTACCTAACCCAGGATAGTCTCAAATCTGAGGACTTCAGATCTCAGTCTCTTTACAAAGTGCCAAGATTGTGGGCAATGCCACCATATATTGCTTCAGACCAATTTTAGCTGTGCCCATTTACCTGTCTTCACCGCCCCCTGAAGCATGCCTGAGGCTACAAGGAACACACTTTTGGCTGAATCAAAGCAGAATAAGTGACCAGTAAGAAAAGCTTTGCTTCACTTCTGAGTAGACATGTCTATTGCATTGATTCCTGAAGGGTGAGTTTGTTTTATTGACTGTACTTCACACAGTTTCCTGGATCATTATCAAGCCTCCTGCTTCCTGACCACAGACACAATTAATAATCTCTGCAGATTATACAGCATTCCTGCAGTTGTCACCTGAGCAGCATAAAGGGGCAGCTCTTTATAGCTAATTAAAAGGAAAACAGTGTGGAGTAGAGGACTGGGGGGGGGGGGGGTTGGAGAAATAGAGAAGGGTTCTGTATGCATAACTCAGTTCTTAAAAGGAAAATTCAGTTTTAACCTCAGTTGAATGAAGGGGTGATATAGTGAAATGTGAAATCCAATTATTTCAAAATATGACACAAGCCAAGCCACCTCAGCACCATGGTTATGAATATAAAACTAGCCTGGGTCCATCTAGTCCATATATCATCTTACTATGAGCTTATGTCTCACAACTTTCCCCATATTGCTTTTTAACTTTTTTTCCCATACTACTTTCTATAAGGGTCTCTATGCATGCCTCACACTACACTATCTTGGCCGTTTTCCCAAGTACAGACGGAAACTGAACTTAGGAGGTCACATCTGAGCTAGACATTTCCCTGTGCTTTATTCTTTCTCCCTTGTCTTCAGAAGGCAAAGTAGGTACTTCCCTTAAGCATATTGATTTCTCAAACAATTGTGATTTTGGAAAGATTGATTTCAACCATTTAAAAATGTTATAAATGTATTACGTGTATGCTCAGATTTGTCTGCAAGCTTATCCTGTTCTTTTTTTCTGTCACTCAAAGGTCCCCTCCTACTTTCCTATCATGTGTGTGCATTTTAAGAAAATCTAGATTCTGCGTGTGAGAAACAAGATGATATTTGCCTGAGTTTGGCTCATTTCACTTAACAGGATTATCTCCAGTCCTATCTGTTCAAAGCTTCTGACACTTTGTCTGTGAAATCCAACACTAGTAACATCCTCCTGGCTGAGAAGGCACTGATTCTTAAACAGTCAAACTTCCCTTAATTTTAAAACCCACCTTGAAGCTGAGTGTATTTGGTTTATAATTTATGAAATCAAAGCATGCTGGTTCTGGTCTGATTTAGTTATCAGAACATGTTTGTTTATCACACTTTGCTTCCAGCTGTGGAGAAGAAAAAAAAAACCCAAGAAACAAGAACACAGAGCTGCAGAGGCGGAGGCAAGAGGCTAAGCTGTGACCTCAGTGGGTGCAGAATAATGATGGAGTCTGTGAGATTTGCGAAAAGACCATAATGAGTCCTGACCTTATTTACCAGAAGAGACTTCTCATTTGTTTAGTGTGACCTGTTCTGTTTTGAATAATATGTATCTTTTGGAATTTTGAGGCCTAAATAATAAATATCAGTTATTTAATCAATGTCTATCATGTGTCAGTACTCAAATAAGACTCAATTAGCTACGGCTATTATGACAGTTCATTGTAACATCACAATTTTACTACTACTATGATGACCATGAGGCTATGACTACTATGATTACCATGGGAAATAGTGCTTTTCATCTGAAGATCTCCCTCTCTCTCTCTCTCTCTCTCTCTCTCTCTCTCTCTCTCTCTCCCTCCCTCCCTCTCGCTCTCTCTGTCTCTCTCTCTCACACACACATACACACACACACACACACACACATCAAGGCACACGGATACAGAGGCATATGCATGGTGACAAAATCTCAGAGTTATGACACAGCCTGAACCATAGAGCTTGATTGATCAGGAAAAAACTAATGGAAGTCAAAATCTAGTTGGATTGTATAGAACCCCTAAAACACAACAAACAAAATCAAAAGTTTATAGATGATATTATATCAAACTAAAATTTTCCAAACAAAAAAGGAAACAATTTCCAGAGTGAAGAAATGCCATGTAAGAGCAGAAAAATGATCAACTATTCATCTGACAGGGCGATATCCAAATATAATATAAGGAAAACACACATACAAGTAATACAATATATAAATGGCCAACTGACCCTACGAATGGCTTTCAAAAGAAGAAATACAGATTTCCAATAATGACCAATAAATATTCTATGTCATCAGTCACCAATGAAATGCCAATCAAAAGCCAGAATGCCATCTTACTCCAGTTAGAAAAACTTCTATCAAAAGTGAATGCATAAATGTCCATAAAAATTTCAAGAAGGATTTCTTGACCAATCTAGGAGGAAATATAAATCAGTACAGCCACCATAGAGACTGATGCTGAGAGAAGGTAAACCTGAAGAATATTAATATCTCAAAATTAATAGAAAGAAAATCGGGAGCTTTTAAAAAACATATCTACAACACAAGTCCTATACCAAAAGCCCAAGGAAAATTACAGAAAGCAAAAAAGAAACACTGTTAGAGACAGGACAAAAAGTATTAGGTAAGAAAGTGTCTTCTAGTATATGAAAGCAAAGCCACACCATGAAATTTCCAAACTATGGTAGCCTAAACAAGACCTGTACAATGTCAACAATAGTTGACATTCCAGCACAGAGAAATGTCACAAGAACCCATACCCAAATGAAGAACTCCCTGCTGCTGAGAGAGGGAGCTCCGTCTTCTCCAGGGAAGAGCTGCCTGATAAATTATCCAATCCCCAATAGCTAGCCCTAAACATGAACACATATGAGCAACATCTAATGGGTTCAGTGGGTTATATGTTTTTATGTTTGTATTTATGTTTATGTTATTTATATGTTTACAATAATAATTAAAGACGGTGTCATAAAGTTGAGAGGAAGTGGGGGCACAAGGGAGTTTGAGAAGGGAGGAGGGTTGTAAACAATATTACTTCAGTACTCATTAATGACAATCTCAAAACATCACAAAACATTTTTAATTTTTTAAAAAAGCCTACTGTGGAAAATTAACATTTGCATTTGTTTAAATATGATAGTGAGTATCCATTAATTCATGAAAAAATGGTTTGTGATATAATATTAGTCTAACAAAAAATTCTAAAGAACTAAAGGTCTAAAAGTAAATCTAACATATGGGGTAGGTCTTCCCCTATTGGTCACATACTGAAAGGAACTCAAATGGACATACCAGATACCTGCACAGTCAATCTTATGGCAGCTCTAGTCACAGTACAGTCAGCTTAGGTACCCATCAATGGACAGAGAGTATAGCATATGTACACAATGAAATACTACTATTCAGTTAGAAAAAAAAAAGGACAAATTCCTGTCTTCTTATGGAACTGAAGGGCACTAGGTTAAGAGAAATATTCTAGAAACAGAAACACAAATACTATATATTGTATTCATGTTCATAGGTTGGAAATGGAAAAGTCAAGAGCAGTACTGGAGAAAGGAAGTGAGACTCCTGGATTTGACAAATGTATGGTGTGTATGGTAGCAATGTCTATCTTAGTCTCATTATTGTCTACAATTGGCATGTTAACCATGTTTATAGTATGAGTATGAGCTGGTGAGTTTCATTATAAGAACTTTATATAAAGTGTGCAACATAGATTGATCATATTCATTATGTCTCAGTTATTTTCCTATTTCTGGGAAGAGCCACCAGGAGCAAGGAAACTTATAGAAGAAGGACTTTATTGGAGATTACAGTTCCAGAGAGTTGAGTCCATAGACATCATGTCAGGGAGCATGGCAGCAGGCAGAAAGGCATAATTCTGGAGCAGTAGCTTAGAGTTTACATCTGATCCACAAACACAAAGTAGAAAGACCTAACTAGGAATGGTGTGAGCTTTTGAAACCTCAAATCCCATCCCCAGTGACACTCCAACAAGGTCACACTTTCTAATCCTTCCCAAACCATTCCACCAACTGAGGACTAAGCATCCAAACGTATGAGCTTATGGGGGCCATTCTCATTCAAACTATAGCACATCCCCATTACCCTGCCTTAAACCCCCTCCCTTTCTTCTGATACCTTTTATCTTGCTAATATTTCCCCTTCTAAAATTCTCCCTTTTCCATTGCACCCCATCTACACCCCAGATTCCATAAATGAGAGAAAACAGGTGGTAATTGTCCATCTGAGTCTGTCTTATTTTGCTTAACACGATGATCTCTAGTTCTATCCATTTTTCTGCCAATGACATGATTCAGCCCTTCTTAATGGCAGAATAATACACTGCCCTGTATAAATGATGATGGTTCCATACTGTAGCTCTTATGAGTAGTTTTGTAAGGAACTTGCAAATACTGGTGTTTTACAAGGTGACTGATTATTCAAGGGCCTGCCTAGAAATGCTGTGGCTAGGTTACCTTTTTTTTTGTTTTGCAAAGGAGCCACCAGATTAATTTCCAAAGTGGGCAGACCAATATCAATTCCCCCAAACAGTGCACTAAGATTTCTATGTTCCCATATGCTCTTCAGAATCTTTTCTGAACATGTGAACTATACAACTAATGGATTTTTTAGTATCGTTTGGGTACACAGAACTTTAATGATATAATGATATTCACCCACTCAGTTGGAGTTGCCTGTCTAGTCCATTTTTGTCCTTTCTCATCGCTTGCAGATCTCTCTTGGTATCCCCTTTTCCTTTGTGCTCCTTTCCCACTAAATTCCACATGAGAGAATAAAACCTACTTGTCTTTGTGGAACTGCTTTAGTTTGCTTACCACAACCAGCCAATGTTCCAACCATCCTCCTGTAAATGGCGTAATTTCATTCTAAATAGTCAAATAAGTCAGTATTGTAAATATACACCTTACTTTCTTTATCCACTTAATCTGTTCATAAGCACCTAGGCTGTCACAATAAACACAGCTATTCAAGTCATCTGTTGCAAATGAGTAGAAGAGCTGGATTAGATGGTAGGTCTACTTATTTCCACAGTGGCTGGACCAGTTTA